TAGTATATAGTAGCCTATATAGTTAGAGTCTATTAGCTTCTTATTCTAGATAGCTATAGTAGCTACGCTACGCTAGAGTTTAACTAGTACTATACTAAGAATAAGATTATTACTCTCTATATACTACTATATATATTATATCTTTTTTAGCTACTTAATATAAGCTACTTCTTACCGCTTAAGCGCACGTATAGATATAAGGTTAAAAAGCTTACCTACTAAAGCGTCTACTATATTAATAAGATAGACTTCCTTATAGCCTATATATAGATCTAGCTAATAGTTTTTATATAGTATAATATCTAGATAAGCTTCTAGATAATAGGCCTTATCTCTTCTTATCTAGATTATATTCTATTATCTCTTATAGTTATCTATATACTATCTCTATTATAGATAAATATAAATAATAATACTATAATATAGCTAAAAATACTATATATAGTAGCTTAGCTTTAATAGTAGATAAAGCTTCTTTAAGAATAGCTCTATTAGTAATTATAAAGCCTAATAAGCTAGCTTCTACGCTAGGTTATTAAAGGCTATTAAATAGTAATATAGTTAGTAATAATACTTATAGAGAAGAATAAGAAGCTACGTATAGAAGTCTAGCGTTAATAATAAAAGTAGAGTTAGTAGTATTAGTATATTACTTCTAGTAGAGTACTCTAGGTCTAATAGGCTTAGTAGATAGCTATAGAGGTAGAAAGGGTGGTGATAGAGGCTAGTTAGAGCTAAGGTGGTGAGCGACGTTAGCGCGCGCCGCTGACGTGTATAAAGTGTCACGTTTAAAGGCATACTTAGATCTTATGTAAATCTATATAAAGAATAATATCTCTTAATTTTGTTTTATATTATTACGTTGTTATAGAGCAATTGCGCAGAGCGTTGGGTCAAGTTGGGTGGGGTGGCCGGATGACTGATCCTTAACGTTACAACACAATTAGTAATAATGGTGGGGTTAGTGGGGTAGACGTCACTCTATACTACCCTTAAGTGTAGGAATACGGTATTGATAAGCATTTGAGAATTCTCAGGTCTTCCATCCGCCTTTCGTCCGTTGCTACACGCTGGGCTCATAAGTGTTTGATATACGAGAGCTAATCCGTTTTTGTTCGGACAGGCTTCGGAGTCAGTAAAAGCTTTCTATTTTAGCTCAACGAAGCTCTATCTTACTAAAATCTAAGCCGTGGTTGGCTGGCAGATTAATCAGGAGAGTATTATCACACCTCTTTGGCACCGCCACATATTAAACACTTTGGTTCGCAGCGTGTACATCAGTTGGCGTGCATCCAATAGACCCCAAAGCTTGAAAATGACGTATGTGTAGTCATTGAGTGAAAGTGGGATTACACCAGGATGATCCCGAGGTCATGATGTTTAGAACGGCTACTACTTACCGATTGCGCCGAAATTGGCCGAAAGTAACCTCGACGAAGACCAAGTTTGTTTCTCTTGCCATTGACAATGAGGCGTGGTGCCATGTGGAAACACAATCAAAATAATTCTACTGTCATCATGGCGTTACAGAAACAGTCATAAAGAACAGACTGGCATAGACATTAAGAGGAAAATGCTACTGACGGAACCGATGCAAGGACAGCCTACGATTCGACCAAGACAGTTACACCAGAGAAAAAGCAAACCGATCAAGACATGCCCAGTGCATTGCAATACAGCCCAAAATGCAGTCTAACAAAACAACCAACGAATCCGCATCACTGCCATAGGCAGGAAGATGGTATACAAACGCCAAACCCAGCCGGCCAACCGTGTCATTGATACTTCTAAATGTGAATTTTCATGCTTGAGACGTGAGAGTTTGACAGGGAAAAGGGTAACGTAAAGTTGAGAGACATGCAATCGAAAAGAAACAAACATGAGACTGGAAAGTCTCGTAGAAGAAGCATCAGACCCCTAAGAATGCATTCTCTGGATAATTGCGTATTTTTCTCTCCAGGAAGAGAGCAATTAACGCCAAACGCCCTTAGAGTTAGGCATCAGGCTAGTACCTCTCGCAGAAGAGCCACTGGTAATGCGAACAGGTGCTCGCGAGCTGAGGCTTGCCGGCGCCTCCCGTGGTCGGTCATCACCATTAGCTACAGTAGTACGTCTTGCAGCACCTTTCATGATGGGCGTGACTCGCGGACTGAGTACGCTGTGTTTCCAGTCAGCGTCGTGGTTGGACTTGACCATGCGGCGTGCTGCACCCGCAGATAGAAGTGAGTTCTCGCCAGGCGGACTTCCAATGGTCGCTGCTGTTGGGCTACGGCGCCGATGAGCGCGGCTGATTGGTACGGAGCCTGCATTGGTAGAAGAGCGCCGCCTAATTGCGTGGCTAATCTTACGTGCATCTGATGCTGTCCACTTTTCTCCTTCTGAGCTAGAGTTACCACTATCTGCCTCAGCCGCAGCATCAGAAAGTGCGCTCTGTACGTGGCTCAGCCCAGAACCACGTAGATTGCTAGTCATCTCGCGTAGAGGCGACGCGCCATCAGAATCCGAGGTGTATAGGGCTGGGATACGCGAGGTAGGCGAACCGTCAGGCCGTTTCGAAAGGGCGCCAACCGCGAATCGCGATGTGCCTTTGAGGTCCACAGTCGCCCTTGGCGGTGTGGGTATGGGCGAAGAGCTGCTTCCATCTAGTCTTGGTGCGGGAGCAGGAGCGGGAGCGGTGAAGTTTGGCTGCGGCATGTCGATTGAGGTGGTAGTTGGGGTACCTTCAACATGTTCAGGTGTCTTTTGGAACTCCGCAAGCGTGCCGTTCTCAGTATCGTCCCTCCACCGCACTCCTCGCTTAATCTTCGAAGGCGACTTCTTCTTCATAGGAGAAAACTGGATGCCCTTCTTCACTCCACTCAAGAGCTTCTTTCGGCGTGGCGACGCTTTTGCAGGCGATGCAGTGAGATGGGACGCATCAGCCAGTGTCGGTAAGGCCAATGGGCGCATTGGAGAGGGCTCTATGATGTTGATAGGCTTCTTTCGCTTCGGCGTGCCCTTGTAGTTTGATTCAGAGAATCCAGCGACTGACAAGCCGCCATCTGGACGAATGGCCTGTGAAGTAGCGGTTGTACACGCGTTCATGATCTTGGTCAATAATTTGCGTGCGGCGGCGACTGCGTCGGCTTCGTCCATTTGAGTGATCTGGTTCAGAATTGCAACAGTTTCAATGTGCGCTTGGACAAGTACTTGGACAATGGCAGCGTCACCGCCTCGTTCTTGGTCAAGTAGAGCATTGAAAAGTTCGCGGTCTGCATTCGACTTGAGGAGTTCGTATTCTCTTGTCAGATTGGCAGCGTCACGGCCATCGGCGTTGTTGTCGACTTCTGCCAGACCCCTCAGTCCTACTTGGAGGGCAGTGTCCATTTTACTTGTCCAATTAGTACGCTCCAAACGGCGGTGGCAATGCTGTCTCGTTTGCTCAAGCTCGGCTGAAATCCCGACCGCAGTGTCCCTCATCGCAGTGATTTGTGGTGGCATCTCTTCATTTTCCCTGATATCTCTGACGTTGTCGAATGCTGCAATCCAGGAAGAGATGAGCGAGATGCGCTTTTCAGCTTGCTTCAGTGTCTTGGACATGTTGAATCGCTCCCGACGTTCGGGTTCTGAATCCGCGTAGGCTTGACGTAGACGTATGATAGCATCACGTAGAATACCGTCCTTCTTCTCGCTCTGCTTTTGGTATTTGATGAATGCACTTCCTTCAAAATCCTTTTGCTTCTTCATCAATTCCTCAATCAAGTGTCTTTGCTCATCAATCTTGACTAAGTAGTCTTTGACGTGGCGGTTAACGTTGTATACGTTCTTTGTGACCTTGGTCTGGATGTTCTTCGCGCGGTTGGCATAGCGCAATGTGTTTTGTGTCTCATCGTAATGGGCGCTTGACGGGCTAACACAAACAATCATAACAGTGCGGCAATTGCCTCCGAGCGAGAATTTGAGCAATCGGGTGAGCTTCGAATTACGATACGGAATGTGGTTGCGTTTCCGTGGGTCGCACAGAGCGTTGATACAGCTTCCCAATGCGAGAAGAGATTTGTTGATGTTGGCACCCTCAGTCAATCGCTCTCCACGGTTCTTAGTAGCGCTAGCTCGCTCACTTCCGGCCAAATCGATGATACTGAGCGTAGCCATTGTGTGAGGCTCATTGACGGAGGCGTTGCGGTCTTTGGAAGAGACATTGATTTGGAGGACGGCGTGAGATCGGGACGAGGTGGCATTGGCTTCAGTAGGCGACATAGTTCGGTATTCGTTGCCGCGGACAATCATATCCATGACTTCTTGAACCTACATCTTGTCAGCAATTGGGGGCGGTCCATGCAAATTGAACTTGACCAACATTTTGCGGCCTGTGACTTGACAAGCCAGCTACAGAAACTGCTTGGTTCGCATCTTCCCGCAGCATCAGGGCATGCTTGCTGCCACCTTCCACCAGTAAGTCGCGAATCGTCTCATTGTAGATCTCTAGATACGAGAGTGTGATCTCGGTGGCCTTTTCATCCTGTACTTCTTGAATCTTTTCAAATAGTTCTTGCATAGTGAGGAAGATTATGCCGGGCTGCTGTGATGTTCCACTGGTCACTGGTCAGTTCTACCCCTCCCATGTTAAATGGCGGTGTGCATAGACATACGTGATGGTATGTGTTTTTCCACATCCTGTGGCACCATATGCAAAGACGGTTGCATTGTATCCCTCAAGCACACTGTCCAACAAAGGCTTGGTCGTGGCTTCGTATACATCGCTCTGGGAAGTCGTGTCGTCGAATACTCGGTCGAATGCAAATGTCTGGTCCTTTGCTCGCTTGCCTTGAGGTCCGGTTGTTGACCGGCCGAATCTATGTATAGCGCTGTCTTCTGGGGGGTCGAATATCCTGAAACCATGTTAGCCCAATACTGGCGTGGTACTCCTGAGTTGCCATACAAGCACTTTTCATCCATGACCTTGATCACCGGCCGGATGCCCTTGTGAATTTTTGGTGCAGGCACTCCGGCCAGCGATCCATCACCGAGGAACAGTGTTTGGTCGTCATTGCGCGTCACCTGGGCTGCCTCTCGAATGGTAAAAGGTCGGACTCGTACGGTGACGGAGATGGAGGACGCGCCCGCAGCGGCCATGGTTGCGCCGTGGGGATGTGAAATGAAGCGTCAGTTATGCTACACAGCGTCTGGTATTGAGCAGCACGCTGTATGTAAAGAGTGGTGGTGTGGCTGACTGGTGGGCTCAATGACGGTGTTGGACTGCTCCCCAACTTCTGTTGTCCGACGCACGGCCACAGTAAACAGACAGGGGTCTCGGATAGGGCAACCACGACCCTGAATGCCAAGACCGGCCTCCCATCTCCACCTTTTCCGACGTATGGCAAGGGCTAGTTTCATCTCATGACCCTACTACACTGGCACATTGCCACCACCTTCTCCTTCATCTCTAGTACATATGATCGGGTTTATTGGTCACCATAGCAGTACATAGACGTAGCGAGAGATGCGCATCTCATTTAAGTAACTACAGACATCAAAATATAAGCAAGCAAGCCATCAAATCATCCATTCATCATCACGACACCTCCTCCACGCAAGATCTTCAACGCTCAGTTCCCATGGCCCATTCACGCTTATCCAGCTAGTTAGGTTCTTGGGCCTGCATCAACCGCAATCAGCCATCTACGCAGTGCACTTCTGCCACTGCACGTACACAACTTGGGTGAACTTGAGATCAGTAGAGTCGGTGGTGAGCAGACCAGTGGCTGAGGCATTGGTGCTAGCCAGGCGGACTTGCGAGTTGATGTTGAGCATGCCAGTAGTGCCGCAAGGCGACCACACAACCGACGTGCTATCGGCCGTGTCATGCTTAAGGTAGTCGCCGTTGGCGGGTCCCTCGAATACGTATTGGGTGCTGGTCTGGAGATGGCGTTAAAGCTAGTTCTTAGTGCCTCACATCACATTGTGGACTTACCTGAGCGGTCTGGCCAGAGAAGTAGTAAGTTGACTTGAGTGTGCCGGTGACACCCTTCTGGATGGCAGAGTAACCGCGGTAGTCGGCAGACAGGATGGAGTACTGGAAGCCTCCGGGGTATTTGATGTCCACGTTCAGCTGGCAGTTCTTGCGTTGCTCAGTGACGGGGATGCCCGGACCAATTGAGGCAATGTAGGAGTCGAAAATGAGCGTAACGACAGTCCTGTCACTGCTGATCTGGGAGCTCATGGTTCCCTGTGGGCAACCAGTTCCTCCATAGCTGACACCGCGGATCGTAACCTGTCCTGTGTAAGCCATGTATCCCCTGATGTCTTGTGTATAGCAAGACGCCTACCGAACCCGCTGGTGGAGCATCACCAAGTTCGACGGTTGGCATGGCAGGTGCTGCTGCCGCGAGAGGAAGGAGAGCCAAGAACCACTTCATGTTAGGCGATTGATTGATAATCTTTCCGTGTTACAAAAAGTGGAGGTATTGATATGGGAGAATGTGCTCGGAGTGGAAGCTGAGTGACGATCATATGGGCAAATGGGGCAGGTTATATACCTTTCAGCCGGCATCTTCTCATTTCCCGTAAGTGCGGCAGTCAGCACCGTAGCAGCCATCTCGTGAGATTCACCAGCAACCTACAGACCACGATAACCGCTGCCAAGTACCGCCTGCAATATCGAAAAACGGCTGAACAAAACGCCCACTTGCTCTCATAGGACTAGGACTCGATATTCTGCTCAGCTGAGGGATTGTATCCATTGCCAAGCTGTAAGTTGTTTCCCCTGTAGTAACTGTAACTCGTCTGTATGGCTGAAACTAATATCTGGGGTACGCGATAGCGTCGTCCCATCGGACACCTTCTCCAAAGCACCATACTTGTCCAGGTCAATATGGCACGATAGCGCCCTTTCACCATATACCCTGCTTCAGGGCACTATTCCTGTTTGGATGGTAATCACATGCCAAGATTTCAATCTTGCGGGTGTCAAAGTACCTGAACCTTGCTCCAAGTGCTTCTTTTGCAGTGACAAGTCGTACAGAATCTGACTGCCGACAGTACCGAACTCCTGTGCCTGTACGACTCTGTCGCGTGGATAGATAGGACGGTTAGATGACGGATACGAGCAACGAGGATATAGTGGTCATGGAACCCATAGCTTTCACACATCAGGTGATAGTTAGTGTACCAAACTTTTGCTCGAACGGTGGGTCACATGCTCGCTTCCACTTCGCATCCAGAATTCCCGCGGCGGGTACAGTGGGGATAGATTGAGAGGGAATTGAACTGAGTATATTTTCCCGGGGTATCAGGCCTAGAATAGAAACACGGGCCTGGAAGCTGGGTAAGAGTCTTGAGAGTACAGCAGGGGGTTACATATGCACACGGGTGGCGGCTTTGATCAGTTCATCCCGTCGGCAATACGCTGGCGGTAAAATGTACGGAACTTGCGGGTCCATCGTGTCCGTCTGGTGGAGCCGTTCGATGGTTGTCGTGTACAGAGGATGACAGTATGTTGATATGATGAATGAAACGGTAGGACTTGCCTCTTGGCGGCTAGATTAACTTTAGATTAAAGCTTGTCGCTCCATCGCTGCTCAAGACCCTGCCTTTAATCAATTTTAGCGAACACGATATCCTGCAGGGGCACATTCTGGAGTCTGGAAACAGGTCCAAAAATACTTGGGGAATGGCTGGTTACGATGCATGCAGGATGCTGCTGCTGCTGAATGCATGCGGCAACTTGGTGGTACGCTACGACAGCTGGGTCATCGTACGAGCTGAGGAACGACTACTGCCGGTTCAAGAGCTGGATATGCAGCCAACGAGAAGGTCCTGGCCAAATAAATTGAGCGTTGATTACACAAGGCCTGTCGGAATGTCATGACCAGGATGATAGGTCGAGCCAGAAGTATAAGGAAAGTTTATCATTGGGGTGCCAAAAAAGAGAGGGGTACAGGTTGGGGAGTTCCGCTCCATTTGTTCGATATGAGCAGTAGTCCGTTGCTCAGTGCGCATATAACAATGGGTGACAGAAAGCACTGAAGGGACGAAAGACGTCTGGGAGAGGCTGATACACGCCCAGCACTCGTTTGTCGCAAACTATTCCTATTGGCCATCCCCAGATGAGCGGGAAGCCAGCAAGGGTATTGTGGCTTGAAGGATGAGCATCCAGATCTTCCAGCAAGCCGAGGTTTTTTTTTCGGCAGCACCAGTAGCGGTAGGTAACGCAAAGACAAATTCTGACTGCTCGACTGCAGGTTCGGTCAGCTATACGCGACGAAGGCCCACCAGAGACTGGCCGGGGCGCGACAAGCAGGTGTTTTGTGTTTTACCAGTCGGCATAGGACGATTTCTACCGACTAAGGTCCGGATAAAGGTACAAACCTGGCAAAGCGGAGAACTGCATCTAATGTGCGCAGGAGCCACAATATACAGCGACGTGTCAAGCGGTGCAGGGCGGAATCGATAAAAAGCGGACGATGTGGTGCTCAAAGCAATCTTCATTGAGCAGAAGATAAGGTACAAGCCGAAGCTGGCCAGGCTGGAGTAACTTACAAGTCCGATCGATACTCGACCCCGCCACGCCACTATGCACCGCCACATGTGTGGCTGAAGCAACCCCTCCCTCGATTTGTCCATTCTAATCATGGCATCATCGCCGCCTCTGTCCGTTTTGTAAGCGGCGGACATATCGCAATCTGTTCATTTCCTTTTCTTCATACTCTCCCGCAACAAGCCCCGCCATCCTGAAGTCCCTTACGATCTTCCTTGTAACCCTCCTCCCCGCCCTCTTTTCCATGTCCTTTCTGACCAAGCTCCTGCGGCCCTTCAGCACAATGTCCAACGCGCCTGCGCAGCCCATGACCGTGCCCTCGGGCGCACATACCGCCACCCTCGCAGCGGGCTGTTTCTGGGGTGTCGAGCACATGTACCGCAAAGAGTATAAGGACAAGGGTCTATACGATGCGCGCGTTGGTTACATTGGCGGCGACACTGAGAACCCGGGATACAGAGCTGTGTGCAGTGGAAGGACCGGCCGTATGTATATTCACTTTTTGCATGATTTGATCTGTCATAGTTTTTCGCTATGACTGTGCGACCGAACCTTGGGTAAAAACAAGCCAGAAAACAGTTTATACTAACACATGCGCAAACATAGACGCCGAAGCGCTACAAGTAGTATACGACCCGACAAAATTAACATATCGCTCGTTGCTAGAGTTCTTCTACAAAATGCACGATCCCACAACGCTAAACCGTCAGGGTCCAGACGTTGGTACCCAATACCGTTCAGCTATCTTTTACCACGACGCCGAACAAGAGAAGGTTGCGCGCGAAGTCACAGACAAAGTAAACAAGCAATGGTGGAAGGGCTCGGTAGCAACAGAGATTCTGCCTGCAGGCAAGTGGTGGGACGCCGAAGAGTATCACCAACTTTACTTGGACCACAACCCAGGCGGTTACGAATGTCCCAGTCACTTTTTGAGAAAATTCCCGCCGCTTGAGGATTAGAAGGTGGGTTAAGTGGAAATTAGATACCAAAACGGAAGAGGAGACTACAGCATCATGATACCTATCTCATATTCAACATAACATCCTTGAAAATTCATCATTTCTCGCGACTGCAATATATTTTTTTGTTTTATTGCTAGAATGCTATTCATCCGATTGTCCATCAGGCGACAGGCTCAACCGTCTATGAGGGTGGCAGAACATCGAAAGTGGTCGCAACCTCCTTCTCCCACGGCAGACGGTCCTTGCCAAAGATCTCCGCGCCAGGCTTGAAGTCCTTGAGTCCCTGCTCTAACAGTCCAGTCCTCAGAACAATGTTGTCTGGGCCCAAGACCTCTTGCTGGTGGTATACGTGCGCGGTGCAGTTCTTGCAGTAAAACTATCCCCAAAAAAGGACTATCAGCATACACATCTGCTTAAGTTGGGGACGGACAGCAACTTACGCAATGAACACTCTTGCCAGAGTCACCTTTGTATGTGTACTTGCCCAAGTCATCGCCCTTTGTAATCTTAAGCGCCTTGGCGGGAATGATTTGGTTGAGCGTGTATGTTGCGCCGGAGAGCTCCTTGCATGTGTTGCAGTGGCTATATCTCTTTATCAGCACCTCTGTTCCCCTCACTATCTCTGGGAAAAGCTCACCAAAGGATATGCGCCTGCTGATCCGGCTGTAGCGTCGCCGTCCACTCCGTCTGCTTGCAGTGGCACGATCCCTTAAAGTCCGTCATCGTGTCTAATCGGCTCCTCGAATCAAGTGTGAGATAGGTAGGTAGTACAAAGATAGGTCAATGTAGAATGTCCAACAAGGTCCTCTCAAGAGGAAGGGGAAGTCAATTACCTTATATACGTAGCTTTCCCCCTCTGTGTAGCTCAAGCTCCCCCTCTTTCCTCACTCTACCTCCACCCCCTCCTTAGCTCCCAACCAAGGCGCACCGGAAATGCACTCTCCCCCCTCTCACCTGCACGTCGGAAGCTCTTAGCCCCCCAGTGTACCAGCAGCAATGCGGCATGGGGGCCGATCCAAACACATTCGTCCAATCCCACTAGTCCGTTTATCTGCATCCACAATGAGGTATTGACCCTGCAGGGCTACACGCATCTAGTCGCCGCGTTACAGGTAGTTCTGGATCCATTGAGAAGAATATCACTAGGTCCAATGGCTGCATGGCATGTCGTTTTTCTATTGTTTAATCCACTTTCTTTGCTGATCGACCTCTCGAGCGCGTTGCCCATGATTAAGGACTTGGACGATCATTGCTTGTCTGCACCGGATTCACGGCGCATGATTAAGAGGAGACACAACAGGAAGAGAGTGGATACATTGGCCGCTGCAATGAACAAACAAAGGCGCGTTCGTACTCGCAGGTAATCGTCGCTTTGAGACGGGATTCCAGAGACGTGAGGGGGATGCAAGCGCGCCGAATGACGGAAGCGGGGCACGACGAGGCGGGAAGACGCGGCGCACGATGCGGATCCGGCTCTTGTGGTGTGCGTAGAATTGTGGAATGGATGCTTGGGTTTGGTGCTAGGCGTATGGTATTCCAAATCATTCGCGAATCATGCACCTAGATCCGGTGGGCGTGTGCGTCGTGTCGTGCATGGCTTTTGGTGGGGATCGCTCAGGTAGCGGAGGCGGTACGGATACTATTGGCGTACGATCAACAGAGCAGCATAAGGCTTTTGAGACATGAGTTCTGGAATAGGTAAGAGATTTGGATTTATATCAAATTGGGAAATGCAATGGTTGCGGCTGATCATGACTAGAACAAGAAAGAGGGAAGCCAGATAAGGCGCCACGATCTTGATTCCTTCCTTTTATATCACGCTTCTTGAATACTAATCATTCTGAGCATTGCTAATCGGGGAACAAGTTCTGTAAGTACCCGCTCTTTGCCATGTTTGTTATCAACACGTGATCGAGTTGTGCAACATCATATCAACATTCGTAGAATAGAGATAAGAGAGCTGTCATCTGTATTTACGTATCATCAACTCAATGATATTCTGAGAGTAACAAAATAACCCGCTGATTGCAAATATGTTTTTTCTTCAAAACACACACACACCCATGCAACAACCTTTTTAATCTATCTCCAAAAGTTCATAACGACCACCATGCTTGTCTAGTGCATCCTCCACCCTCTCCATAACCGCAAGTACCTTCTCCTCTTCCAACCTCCGCCCCACAACCTGTACAGCCACAGGCAACCCCTCCATCTTCTCAGCATCATAGTGCTTATACGCACCCTGTGCAACACCATTCAGCTTCTTCAGCTGAAAGTTCGGAGGAAGAGCATCTTTCTTTGCATCAACATGCGTTACCGGGATGACACCCACGGAATAGTCAAGCTTTGATAAACCGTCAGCATGTAGAAGAAGAAGAAGAAGAAGAAGAAAATAAGGGGGTTAGGGGCAAAAGTAGCACAAAACTCACCAGATTAAACAAAAACGTGTAACCACAGCTGCTGACTGCATCGTGCATTCCGTCATGAGGCACAGCAGGCGTTGCGTTCGGGGGCGTGAGCATGACATCCATTTTCGCCTTTTCCTGCCACCACTGGAAGAAGTTTTGCTTGAAGGCTTCGCGCCTGCCGACAAGCTGCCAGTGCTCATGTGCGGTCTTTGGGTGCCAGTCTCGGAGTAGGCCGGCCCAGATGGAGTCGCCCTTGATGTATTTGAGGTAGAGGTAGTGGATGTACTTTAGGAAGCGTGGGACACGCATGTACTTGACCATTTGGGCGGCGCCCGGGTCGTTCCACTCGCCTGTGCGGAAGTGGCTTAGGAAGACGCCGCCGCCGTCGCTGAGGAGCAGTTGCGAGGCAATTTGGAGGGCTTCGTAGGGGGACGGCGGTTCGACGTCGAAGACCTCGTGGCCTTCGGCTGCGAGGGCTTTTGCGGTCTGGTCGAGAGCGCGTGCACATGCGGGTGATGGGTCTACAACGTGGTCGGTTCGCATGACACCGATGCGTAGTTTCTTCTTCTCCTTATATTTCTCCTCGACTTCTTCCCTCCATTCTATCGGGTGGACTGTGTAGTCGTATTTCCAGGGCTCCATCTGGATGAAGCTACGTGTGAAATATGTCAAGTCGTTCAGCGTCCTTGCCATAGGGCTGAAGACACTGGGAATTCCTTCTTGGCCAGCCATGCTGGTGTTCATGCCTACTTTTGGCCATCGGCCGGTAGAGCATCGTATCGAGTAGCATCCAGAGAAATGAGCGGGTGCACGAACAGAGCCAGCAACGTCAGATCCGATACCAATGCGGCTACCACCGAATGCCAGTAGCGCCGATTCACCTCCTGTTGAGCCACCTGGTGAGTATTTGTCATTGTGTGGGTTCTTGGTTCGTCCCCAGACGTCGTTGGTAGATTCAAATGAGAGGAGGGTAGTGGGCAGATTGGTCTTTACAAAAGGCACGGCGCCGGCATCTTTCAGCAGCTTGACCATGACTCCATCTTCAGTAGCTGGCTTTCCGGTGTTTCTCGAATAACCAACTGAGGTGTCGAAGCCTTTGACTTGTATCGAGTCCTTTAATGAAACCGGAATACCGGCCAGCGGACCCTTTAGATTGACCTCTTTCTGGGCCCATTCCTCAGCCTCTGGAAACAAGATCTCAGTCACACAATTGGTTTTTTCCTGTGCCTTGACGGCAACCTTGCCGTATGCTCTCAGGATATCAACGGGGCTGGTGATTTGCTTTTGCACATCTTGGACAAGCTCTTGGATAGGCTTGCCGAGGATAGTACGCTCCTGAGAAGAGAGGGGAGAAAGATATGGCGCCGGAAGAGATGCAATCTTTGCTGCACGCTCCGACTGCTTACGTTTGCTGATGGAAACTTAGCTGACAACACTCTTGCGTAGTGTGTGGGGTATTAGAGTGGCTTTGTGAAGCTCGGAGCAACTCACCAGTCGGCTTTATGTTGCCAATACTCTGAAAGACCCATGATTGTTGCTAACTCGGAGAGTAGAAGATCACACGATCAAAGGCCACCTGTGAGGTTTTAAAGCCAGTGGATGCTTCTTATCGGCTATAGATATCACGGGAAGCCGCGTGTATGCGACCAACTATCTACGAGCTGGGTCGCGTGGACCTGCCGCTTCTAGCTCACCCGAGGTTGGAAGCGGGGAGCATGCCATCGTAAGGCGTACTTGTCATGCCACCACCATTGATACCATCTCCTTCATTGCAACATTCCAACAAAGTATCTCCTGTCTCTGATGTCTTGCAGGACTTTCATCTTGGACTCCTTTGTTAAGGAATGCCCCACTTCTCTGTCTGACACGTACAGGCGCCTACTATGAGAGCATCTTGTGCACAACTATGCAAACACGCCTCATTCTACCATTTGGGTATCAAAGTTGTCTAGACTGCTGGGTCCATCGATGACTGACCAATGTATACGCGCGCATGCTGGCTCCATAGGCAAGCATTGACATGGCAAGTTCCGACGTCCTCTCATCAGCGCGGGCGTTTCTTGGACAACGCCCTCACCAAGGGCGTGAACGATCCTTTTGGAACAATGTTTCAACCTTACGCGACTCTGATTGAGCCTCAACACTTTCCGAGGATAGCTCCCGCGCGCGAGGTTGGGCGGGAGCTTGGTGTGGGACCGCGGAAGTACAACGAGAGCCGCACCAGCATCTCTCGTCCAACCGATCCAGACATCAAACCATGGCTCCACATGCCTCGAGTACCCCTCTAAATCTGCGGACGTGTATGGCTTCCCCAGATATGGCGTGTTGACTTGTTATGCTGTAGCCGCCGATGTGCATCAGTGCGGCAGCTCGGACATTTTCCCAAGCATCGCGGTTCTGGCCTCTGATTGGTCCGCCCAGCGACTACTCGCGATACCATGAAACCATGGCGGTCCAGATTCGCAATGAGCAAGAATAGCAGCGAATTCAGCTATTCCGTTTTCAATGTCTTGTTGAGGCAGCAGAAAACATCTGGATATATAAGATATACTTGAGGTAGCACCATAGTATTCATCAAACACAACAACCAGCTCACAAACACTCACTTCCTTTTCCTCTTTTTTCCTCTATTTCCTTATTTCCTATCTGGGTCTTATTCTTTCTCAATTTCCTACCACGACACTCTCTCCTGCTGTGCAGATCACTGTTACGTCCTCGCTACTCAAATCACTTTGTTCGCCCACTTCGACATCCAACTCTCTTTCGAAAACTACATCTTCAATCAGCCAATATGCCTGTTCCTACCTACAACGCTAAGCCTTTGAGCCTTATGCTCTTGGGTACTCGAGTCCTTCAGTCTATCTGCATGATCCTCGTCATTGGCATCTGCTCCAACTTTGTCCAGATGATTGTTACCACTGGTGTTGAGCCGCCCAAGGAGTTTGTTGGCACCCTCAGCGTGGTATGTATCAAAACATCATGTTTTCAGCATTGTGCTAATACAAATAGGCCTGCATTGCTACCCTATACATCATGGTTAGCATTGGCTACTACTGGTCCCAAGCCAACCTCGGCCTTCTTGTCATGGCTGGTGTGGACTCTCTTCTTCTCATTGCCTTCATCGTCTGTGCAGTCACTCTTGGAAAGCCCATGTCTTTCCTCAACTGCTATGTCATCGGAAAGACTTCAGCCGAGATCGATGCCATGTACGCCAACGCTTTCGTCACTGCGGCGGTTCAGAACCTCAACAAGTCTGCCTCGAGCCTGGGCCACTGGGCTGGTGTCACTCGCAGCAACTGCTTCCAGGCTAAGACTGTCTGGGGCATGACGATTGCTCTTTGGTAAGTCTATCAACGCTGTCAATGTTTCTGGACATTACTAACCTGACGTAGCATTCTCTTCACTGTTTCTTGCGCTCTTCTGCCTACCCTCTGGTACAAGAACAACATGAAGAAGCCTGCCAAGACTGTCGAGGAGGCCTGAACGAGATAATGATTGATGTCGCAATGTTGAGTCGACGCAACGATCCATAGGAGGAACTGTCTAAAACAAGTGACTGCCGCCAGTTCCCCACCTTCTGCCCCTTTTCCTATCTGTCAAAACCACAAAAAACAGTATGCATCGCGATGGAGTTTGGAGTTGTCTTTTGTCATCATCTTCTTTTCTGTCCGGACATTGAATGTCCCTAATCCCTAATGGATATTTCTGAGCCTTGCTGCTCATACAAAACGAATTACATCATTTTTGTCTCAATTTGCGTTTGTTAATATGACTCATTTGTATGGTGCGCTGTTTTGCCTCTGCCTTGCTCATTACCAGTCTGAGCGTGAGAAGAGCAGCTTAAATTTGAATACAAACACACCGGCCTGAGCGTGGTGCTCCTGTTTCATGTTGTTCATTCACTTTGGTCTTTCACACATTCCTGCTACCTTTCCCACAGTCATAGGATACTTAAGTGGTACTGCCATATGTAGAACTAGGCAGAGACATGACTTCCACTCACGGAAAAAAGCTTTGAAGCGTTTGCAATACAGTCAGTACCAACGGTAATCATTCAATTACGCTTTCACGTCTGAAATTCTATTCATGTAAACAAGCAACAATATGAATCGATTGTGAGAACAGCACATGAACTTCTCTGACGTTTTACCCTTTCTGCCCTCCATATAAGAAAGACCAGCACCACGTCGATCTTATTTTCTCCACCAAGGGATACTACTGATAACAACACCTGCTAAGCCCCACACAATCTCACGCCACACATTCCAAACAACGATACAATGTGCAAACGCTACCCTCTCGAATGCGCGATGCCCAACTGCCTCAACACCATCCCCCCACACTACATCTGGGGCGAAAGTTGCTACCAAGCCACGACCCATGACAGGGGGGTAAAGCGGCATTACATTCCTGGCGTCAAACCTTCAGGATACTGTGGTTTCACACAGGTTATGGAGCCGTACAAGCATCCGTATATGATGTGTGAGTTTCATTACGAGCAGCGGAACAAGGACGAAGAGGAAAAGAAGAAGAAGAAGGAAGAGGAAGAGGAGGAGAAGAAGAAACAGCTGAAGGATAGGGAGAGGAAAGGGATACCGAGGGGTATGGGACACTTGATTGACTGAGTATTGGGGGTCTGTCGAGAAATAAGGGGATATGGAAGATACAGGGCTTTATTTCGGTATTCTGACAGAAGTCTATTTGTACATTTCATGTACTGGAGCCAAAACAACGAAGTTTTCATATGGGGTGCATGAGTTCCGGGAGCCGAGATGAGGAACCGAGAATCGTTGTAGGATTCAAATGGCCTTTTTCAGACATTGCTGGTAGATACGGCCCCTCGGTCTGATATAAGCCACGGCAGAAGGCAAACTGAACCTCATCTCTAAGCAGCCTTCCGGCAAAACCTGCCTAACTGTAGTCAACCTGCCCATCTCAGCTCCCCAAGTCTAGCTGAGGCGTACTTATCGCCTGCAAGGTCGATCCAGCGCGCTCAACTTACCCCGCACGTCAGGAGAAGTCGATAAGTCTGGTCTGATATGTTGTGTAACCTGAGGTACATCGTCATTCGCCATGTGGCCCTGCACCATTGGGCTAATGGAAAATCCTTCGGCTGCACAACATAAAGGCAATGTTATGCTACCTGTCGCCGACAGACCGTGTTTAGCGCTTTCAATATCCACATTCATTGTCGTGAATCATTATCCGTGCTGCTGTAGAACGAATGGAAAATTGTAATCTTCCATACCATGAACTTCTTGTGCGCTCTCTGCGAGCTCGACTTTGCCAGCAAGAGATCATACGCACAGCACTGCGAATGCTCGCCAGTGCACAAGAACAGGCCCAAGTGTGAGGTTTTTGATAGCTTGAAGCAAGAAAACAGCATGAACGAGACTTTTATATGATCAAAGAGACCCTTCACTGCAACTTTTGCGATATCGATTACATCAGTAAAGGTGCGCTTAAGCAGCACGAGTGAGAATCTTCCGCACAAAACAACAAGCTCCCATGCTATACTTGTGGTCGCTTTTTCATCAGCATGGAAAAGCGCGAAGAGCATGGAAGAGAGTCGTCTTTGCATAGGAACTCCGAATAGTGGCTCCCGTAATAAGGACGCATCTACACAGGCTGAGAAATAGTTGCTAGTGGAAGGAAGGAGCTTCAAGTGCGATATTTGCAACTGTCGTTTCAGCAGTGATGCAGCATGCAAGCAGCATCAACGGGACTCTCCCACGCATAATAGCGCGCGTTGTGAGACTTCCAATTGTTCTTTCGGTGGCAGAAAAGAACTCGCGTCCCACTAGAGAACTTGTAAAATCAGTTAAGGACTACTGAAGGACTACAGAGAAGCCCCATCGAAGCTGGAGAGTAACAAAGTCGCGCCAAGCACCACCTTTGTTCAACCTGCACCCTCCAACGTCTCAGTACCTACTGTCATTCACATCTCCACAAGATCGTTCAAACCCTTTAAACACTCCCAATACCTCCTTCGAGAAACTCGCAAATACTTCACCTTTCCCAAACTGTCATGTTAACAGCTTGAAATGCGTTGCTGGCGAGGAAGAGAGCGAAGCAGCGCTACTAGATAAGCGTAGTACAAAGTAAGCTACGGTGTCACTTGGACTTCAATATAGTCAGAACAGAATAAATCTAAGAGATTTCGATGTTTACGTTCTAGAGTATTCCCCCATTGCGATAGTTGATAGTGACATGTTGGTTGCCATAAGCGTCAGGACCCTGAGCTGAATGGCCTCGATACCCCGCTAGACCCCACACGTGCTTTGCCAAATTCACCACTAAGCCCAACGCTCTGACTTGCAGCTCGATCTCGCATTGCAAAAGTCAACCAAACAACCTGTCAACATGGTATACTACTTCTCGTCAAATACCGTATCCCCGTCGGCCTTTATCTACGTCGGCAAAGACAAAGTCGAAAGTAAGATGCTAGACTACCTCAGTTTCTGACATGGCCACATTACCTTGCTTGTCGCTTGGCTGTTATACAAGAATTTGCATGCTAACCCTGCGATAGATGAAGAGCTGATCAAGTACGGCTGGGACGAAGATGTGTGGTTCCACGTTGACAATCTTTCCTCGGCTCACATCTACGTCCGCCTACCAGAGGGCGAGGACTGGGAAAAGATGAACAAGGAATTATTAATCGACTGCGCGCAGTTGACAAAGGCGAACAGTATTGAAGGCAACAAGAAAGATAACATTACTATTGTGTATACGCCGTGGAGTAACTTGAAGAAGGACGGCAGCATGGCTGTAGGACAGGTTGGATTCAAGGATCAGCGCAAGGTGAGTATTCCGTGATTGTGGAGTTTGCATACTAATTTGGTGGGATAGGTCAAGCGCATACACGTTGAACAGAGAGAAAATGCCATTGTCAACCGCCTAAACAAGACCAAGGTTGAAAAGTTCCCTGATCTGCGCGAAGAGCGAGAGGCGAGGCGTGCCGAGTTGAGGAAGCGGGAGCAGGGTGCAATGCAGGCAAAGGTACTTGAATTTCTTTTTGTTTGGGATTACCTCGGTCATATTCTCACTATCTTTACTTTGACTTGGCTTCGCTTTTCTACCACCGTAATCCCCTGTGCAGCAAAACTAACCTTTTGCAGAGGAAAGAGGAAGCGCGCGTTGCCAAAGAGCGCAAGGAGCTCGCTTGGCGGAGAGACCACGCCTATGACGATGTCATGACTGAGGAGCATCTCGAGGAAAGCAGCAATCAGAACCGCGACGAGAACTTCCTTGACGACTTCATGTGAGGCTCCCTTAATGCTCACGCGATCATGGTTTGGTGCAGATGCGCGGCAGACTGGCGCTTCGCGAGGGCTTCGAGGCAGCGGTACCATTTGTCGCCTCATCTAGGATCGCGAAGGTTCATTGCTGGCAGGCAAAGCCCCATGCTTTCGTTCAACATACAGATGTTGTGATTGAAGACATCGTATGCAGTCGTCTTGATCTCGAGTTCATCGTGGGTTCTGACATGTCAGCCTCACTGTGTTGGGCTCTGGACGAGGCACGGGTACATACAGAGTCTTTGCTTTGTGCCTTGGGTGGCCTCCTTGACTCTGTAGCCACCATACAAACAACAAGTTCTTCACTATCTTGTGCTCCAAGCCGTTTTCTCTTGTGGCATGCTGAAGAAATTCCAGCGTATTGTGCACTTTCTGGGGCGCAAAGTCGTCAGCACTGCCGCGACGGAACGCCAGACGGAGGCGGTCACGCAGCGTGTATCGGGCTGGCTTGGAGAATTGAATAGCCCGCAGACTATGCCGATACAGGTGCCTATACGCGTGTATGACTTGCTGTTGTGACATGGTGGCCGGGCACTACCGACGTCACGCCTCACTTCTGCAAAGCGCCATGGTTGGGCGTCGGAGAAAAGGTGCCACCGGCGCCCCGTAGCCGCCTGCCGCCTGCGTGGCACAAACCTGGTTCGCTCCTCTCTTCCCTCTTCACACCACACCACTCAACGCCCCTGCCTGTGCCTTTTGCATCCACTGGGCTTGTAGATACAAACTCCGCGTCTTGGACCTTTGCGCGCCGCTGTGACTGCCTAGTTTCTTGTATTCATTGCTAATCCCGCAGCATCAGGCTCCGTAGCTGGAAAAAAACCCTAGCCACGGGAGCACCTTACTCTTCCACAGACCGCTGCGTCTCTATGATTTGCCTTGTACACCAGCGTCATGACCAGAGTGTATCATCCACGGCCGCAATATGCGCCACAGCGCAGCGGCACCCTTGAACAGCCGCGAGCCGTCGCCAAAAAGAAGAAGCCGTACAAGATTGTGCTCGAAGCGGTAACGCAGGAAAAGAAGAAACTGCACTCGATCGTCCGTCTGCGATGCGCCATCGATGCACCGACATTTTACTAACGCGAGTGTAGTTGACGTATGCATCCAACGCGCCCACTGGCTTCGGCTTCATTCCCGCTGGACATCCAGAGTTCACGGAATGGTGCAAGGAGCAGTGTCGCCAGCGCAACCTCGATGTACACATTGTTTCGGTAGGCGTCGCAACAAACTCCAGCGGGCCAGGAGTAGCTGACAACCCCTAAAGGCCAAACCCAAGAACAAGATGCATTCCGACCCCGAGAAGTTATCTCATCATGTCCACCGAGTCGGACATCATTTTCCTTTGCAGATTATCGACCTTGCATGCAGCAAGTTCGGCTATACGTATGATGAAAGCCAGGGCCTCCAGAAAGCCAAGGATGGCGACAGGACCAACTGGATTGCCCGGCGCTTCGAGGACTACTCTTCACGGCAAGTTAAACAAGGACGTCCCACGACGGAAAAGGAGACCAAAGGCTACATCCATGGTGCCGTTCGCGAAATGTTTCCCAAGATCCCTGACGATGATTTGCAAGCCATTGTTACCCATGCCTTTGAGGAGGGAACAAACCGGGTAGGTAATGCCAAGGAACTTTCATTGGCTCGTAGAGTGCAGCTTGCTGTTGTCGCCCATATTCGCCATACGTATACAGATTACGACAAGCTGCTCAAAAGCGGCGGTTGGATGGAGGCTCGGTCCAAGGTTGAGAGTGTCTCCCTTGCCAAACTCAAAGAGTGGCGCGACGAAGCCGATGAGCAAAGCAATGAGCTTGAAGAAACCTTCCGTGAGGTCATTGTTCTTGATGATGACGATGAACCAAGCAGCGAACGCCATTCCACGTCTACGCCTGATGAACGTGAGCAGAGCATGGAAATTGTTTCTAGTCGTGCTACTGCGCGCGATTTGCAACCCGAACTTCATGCTAACTACCCTCGTAATGATATGAGAGGTGTACCAAGAAGAACAATTGTTCTTTCGCGATACCCTCCGCCTCCACGATCAGGTCAATTGCCTGCCTCTTCACACCCCCAGCCATTCTCTCAGCTGCCACCTCCACCTATGCACGCAACACTAAACTCTGAATTACGCCTAGGACACCATGGCGAAGCATATCGCTATGGCACACACGATCTGAATGACAAGTAAGGAGTAGTGACATGTTGATTGCCTAGCCCCACTAACCACCACAGACGAGCAAGGCCAGCTGACTCTGGTCCAAGCCAAAGGGCCGAGCCTATTTTGCACGAAATCGACGGGCAATTGTACAAAGTGAGTCTCGAATAGGTCATGTCTCGTGAATGCAACACGATTGTATTTCGTTCTTCATTCTGGAATTTGAGCTGACACCCGTAGCTTCAACCCATCAAGGAGCCACAAGATGATTCAATGATGCGGTACGATCCCCCTCCATCGCGACGCATACAAGGCATGTATTCGCGTCCTGCATCCCCTCGATTTAGTATGCAGGAAAGACCGCCCACAAACACAAGACGCATGCCAGATCACGATCTTGCGCTCCCTTCTGTTGAGCGTGAAACAGTTGATCTGACTTCACCACCACGCCGTAATACAAACGCACATCACCCAGTGCAGGATCACAACATGCTAGACAGACACTATACCCAGGTACAGTCACCAAAGCGTAAAGCGCCGAATAGTTTCGCGGACGAAAGAGACGCCCAAGCAGACCAGCCGAAACGTCCAAGGCCTATGTATCGTGAAGAACCCCGCCCCAGACCCTACCAAGGTGGGCCACCTGAGTTACATTCAAGCCAGCCAATGGGTCCTCTTCACAGTGCTCCACGACCACCGCCTCCAGAGCATGTCGTTGATCTAACAAACAGTCCAT